ACTTTCATGCCCCCTGATTGCAAGTACACTGTGAACTTTCATGCCCCCTGATCGCAAGTCCAGTGTGTGCCTTACATGCCCCCTGGTTGCAAGTCCAGCGTGAGCTTGCATGCCCCCTGGTTGCAAGTCCAACGTGCGCTTGCATGCCCCCTGATTGCAAGTCCAACGTGCGCTTGCATGCCCCCTGATTGCAAGTCCAACGTGCGCTTGCATGCCCCGTGATTGGAAGTCCAGTGTGCGCTTGCATGCCCCGTGATTGCAAGTCCAACGTGAACTTGCATGCCCCAAGATTGCAAGTCCAGTGTGCGCTTACATGGCCCCTGATTGCAAGTCCAACGTGAACTTGCATGCTCCCTGACTGCATCAGGAGGAAAGGTCTTCACAATGGAGGACAGGACTCTCGCCCTGGGCACCTTCTAAACAAAGAAACCGAGGTTGAAAGAGGACCACGGACTCAGTTCAAAGGTGTTGCCACTGAGGGTCCTCGGATCTTGGTGCTCACCTATGAACTTGGCTTCTTCACCAGCACAAGCGGATGGTAACTTGGCCTACTCACAGTTTGGTGACCTTTACGAAGTCCTGGCTGGCAGGGCTCCTCGGGAGAGGTCCTCAACCATAGAGCATGTGACCCCGGCGTCGTCATGAAGCTGGGTGTCATCCTTGCTGCCGCTCACTGTGGTCCTTCCAGGGGCTCCCCGAGATTAGCGCCGGGAGTCTGGGGCCAGCAGGCTGCCTGATGCGGCCGGACTTGACCAAAGCCCTTGACGCTCGTCCTGCAGATGCGGCGCCGCTTCGGGGACGTGTTCAGCGTGCAGATGGCCTGGACGCCCGTGGTCGTGCTCAACGGACTGGCAGCTGTGCGCGAGGCGCTGGTGGACCGCGGCGAGGAAACCTCCGACCGCCCACCTGTGCCCATCACCACACTACTGGGTTTCGGGCCTCGCTCCCAAGGCTAGCTGGGAAGGGGCACCCGCGGGGTGGGACCTGGGCCGGCAAGGACCGGACGCCCGGGAGGTCTCCATGTGGGGCAGACAGAAGTGATGGTGAATGCTGGGTCCAGGGCACGGAAGAAGTTCTAGGTTCCAGGGCTGGGGCGGGAAGAGTGTGTCAGGGAAAGACCTGGCCCGATGCTGGTTGGGAGGGTCTGGCATCAAACCCTGGAGAGAGGGCTCAGGAAAGGTGGGAGGACTGAGTGGTCGCAACCTTAAGGGGTCCTTAAGGAAGGGGCGGCACTCTTAAGAGCAGAAAAGGGGTGGAGCAATTGCAGAAAGGGGCGGGTCGGTGAATAAAACAGGGGACGGTTCGGTACTGAGTTAGCTGACCGGAGGCGGAGTCTCAGGTAAGGGGGCGCGGAGGTTGAGCTCAACAGGGGACGGGCCGAGGTTTGATTGGCAGTGGCGGAGCCGCTGCCGAAGCCGCAGCTCAGAGGTCGGAGGGCGGGACGTGCGCTCTCCGCCAGGCACGCCCACGAGCCCGCTCCGCTCCCAGGGGTGATCCTGGCTCCCTATGGGCGCGCCTGGCGCGAGCAGAGGCGCTTCTCTGTGTCCACCATGCGCAACTTGGGCCTGGGCAAGAAGTCCCTGGAGCAGTGGATAACCGAGGAGGCCTCATGTCTCTGTGCCGCCTTCTCCGACCAAGTTGGTGAGAGTCGGGGCATGGAGGGTGGGCTGGACACAAGGAGGGTGAGGCTGGGAGGACCAGCAGGCGGCCCCCTCATCTGCTCCGTCCCTTCCAGGCCGCCCCTTTAGCCCCAACCTGCTCCTGAATAAAGCGGTGAGCAACGTGATCGCCTCGCTCACCTTCGGGCGCCGCTTCGAGTACGACGACCCACGCTTCCTCAAGCTATTGGATGTACTTCAGGACGCTGTGAAGGAGGACACGGGTCTTCTGCGCGAGGTGCGTGGGTGGAGGCGCCCGGGGGCCATACAGGGCCAGCCCCGTGGAGGTGGCCTCCGCCCTGCAATGGAGCGTGTCACTCTGATCCCTGAGATTGGTCCACCCTCTCTGATGGACCATTCCTACGGACGAATGGAAAAGGGCACTGGAGGAGAGGCCACTGCAAGAGGAAAGGCCTGGAGGTGGGAGATCACAGACGACAGAGCTGGGAGCGGTGGGCCCAGGTCAGCCCTCCCCAGAGAAGGCTGACAACACGGGATCCGGAGATTTTACATTTATCCTTCTGGGTGTAGGGCCAACAGAGAAAGTCAAGACCCCCAAATAGGGAGGAACCAGGTCACTGCTGGGGAGACCCTGCAGGCACTGGGCACCTGACTGGTACATGTGACACCTGAGCCCAGGAAGTACCCAGGATCCCACACCTTGGCCCACACAGGTGCTGAACTCGATTCCTGTGCTCCTGCACATCCCGGGGCTGGCTGCTAAGGCCCTCCAAGGGCAGCAAGCTTTCGCGTCCCTGGTGGATGAGCTCCTCGCTGAAAACAAGATGACCTGGGACCAGGACCAGCCACCCCGAGACCTGACTGATGCCTTCCTGGATGAGGTGGAGAAGGTGAGGTGCCAGGAACAGGAACAGTGGTTGTGGATTTAGGGGGCCATGAAGCAAAGGCCAAGAAGGTGTGGGCAATGATGAGCCAGTGATGGGCCACCTG